CAGGCCGTAGATCTGCTCCTTTGTGCCTTTGTGCAGATTACTAGCAAAGCCCTAGAAAATGACCTCCAGTATGCCATTGGTAACGTTATGCTGCCTGTAACATCATCCAGCATGACTGGGTTGGCAGTAGGTCAGTGACGGTCTGGGGAGACAGAATTGCACAGGTCCTGCAAAAAGACATATCGAGACTGTCTTGTGACAGTATGTTCAAAAAAATGAACACGAGTAAACTGCCGGAGGTCATTTTGAGGGGTTCTGGCTCCACCTGTTCTTCCTTGCACTGAGGAGCAGATACTGGTTTTGCAGCTAGGTTGATGCCTGTGCTTTAGCCCCTGTTCTCTCTTAATATGACCCCTCTTTTCTCATCTTCTGGTGCCATCCTGGGGGAGCTGGGCTACTTGTGCAGGTACAGTCTCATGCTACCAGTAGTGACAGTGACACAAGCAAAGAGCAAAACTGCAGAAAAATAAGAAAGGATAAGAGAAGACAGCGGTGTATGGTCACCACATGCAGCATCATTCAGTGTTTGGTGGATCTTCTTGATGCTTCTCCAGTGCTGCTGCTTTTGTCTAATTCCTGACGTCTAGCTCAGTTTGTGTTATGCTCTGATGATCAAGTGTTCACTTTTTTTTTGTTGAGCAGTTTATAAACACGTCCTACAAAGTGAACATGCAGACTACATAGAAACCACCAAAGAGGAAATCATTGAATACGAGCAGTTCATTAAGTACTGTAGCTGTCATATGGTTGGACTTAATTGCTGCCGAATCAGCCATAAATGGTGCAGACGTTGCAAAACATTTATCTGTTTTGTTGCATTTTAAGATTATACTGTCAGGGCTCTGGCAGCTAGCTGAAACTATTGCTGTTTTCTCTGTTGATGTTTATTATTATTTTTGATTGTTTGTGTGTGTTTTCACCACAGAAATCTTTATAGAGAAAGAATTAACCGCAATTGACAAAAAACCCCAAACTGATTACATTTCCATCAAAATAAGCACGAGAGTCTGATTGCAATGTTACCTCATTTCTCATTGTAGAGAATAATCTCAGGTCTTGAGGAGAATTAAGAGTCATCAAAAGGAAGCAACTGCCTTTTTTTGTATTGTATTTTTTTCATGTTTACATATAGCCACCTGTCTCAAATGTCTGTTTTGCCAGATAACATTTCTAGAAATTTTATTTGGATGTAAGCATTCTGTAAAAAACTATTTTAAAGAGCCTAACGCAGTCAGGAAACACATAATAATGAAATGAAATGGGATTTTATGACATTAAGATATTGTAATAAAGCAGGCTTTCTTTTATCCATTCCCTCAGACATAAAGTATGGAAATCTGCTGAAATAGGGATTTGGTTCTAGGTGAGTTAAATTTACTGTTAATACAAGTTGATTATGTTTAGCTTCATCGCTGGTGGGTGTTTTGAAAGGAAGTGGAAATGATGGCTCTCTCCATCAGGTACTCTGATTGCACTGAATGCCTGTGTCCTGTGGACATGCCCTTGTACTCATTTACCGAATGTTTGTCCGACACTAGAATAAGAGGTTTTGTTTACAGTTTACGTCCAATGTCAGAAAAGGTTGCTGCATCGCCTTGCTTCTGTTGTTTACATGATTTATGTTCCTATTCAGTATTTCAGAAACTCATGCGCTGGATACGGTTGTCTGAAAGCATGCCTTTATAAGGTTTACGTGCATTGTTTTGACCTTACACTTCCTGTGCATTTATTTATTTATGTATTGTCATCCCTCAAAACTGTAACTGTAGCTTAGCTGGTTAACATATTGTGGTGAATGATGAGAAGTAATGTCTATACTGTATATGTTGCACTTTGTATTTAAGTATTAAATCACAGCAAGTATACACAAGAAGGGAGAGCCTCTTTTTAAGGTTACTAAGTAATAATGCAGAGCAGATTACAGCAATAACCAAATTAGGCCTGCATTTAAAAAAAGCTCTCACTGGAGCTTTCTAAATGTAAACATGGTAATATTGCAAAAAAAAAAAAACAAATCTGCGACAATCTGACTTGATTTGAATTATATGCAACTTGGTTGACATGAGATTCATGCCTTCCAATGCATGAACTGTTGTATTATATCTATTGGCAGAGGGAAGACGATGGTGGAGTTCTTCTCCGCTGCGATGGTGTTGAGAGTCTGAAGGTATCTTAGCTGGAGAGCTGAGGGTGAGTCAGCCATTACCAGAGAGGCTTCTTTCAGAGCCCTGGAAGCATTCATCTCCCCCTCTGCGGCAATGATCTGAAATATAGGCAGACGATCAGTATCTTCTGATGTTTCATTTCTGGGCCTGAATACATGAAAAGGAAATTGAATTCAGTCTTCCATTCCTCTCATTACCTTGGCCCTAGCCTCCCGGCTGGCTTCAGCCTCTGCTGCCATGGCTCGCTGCAGCTGATGAGGCAACTTCACATCTTTGATCTCTACACGCTCCACTTTGATACCCCACGGATGAGTGGCTTCATCTAGGGCTTCCTGCAGAGTAACATCCAATATCAAACACTCTAGTCACAGTTATAGTTTAATAAACAACAAATCAAATACTACAGTGAGAAAACCAGTGGCTTCTCCTTGTTTAAGCATTCTCCTTGTGGCCAAAAAAAAGTGTTCTTTGAATGGTGGGTGGGAATGAAGGAGCTCTAAAAGTATCTGTAATAAGGCTTTTCTTACCTTTTTTAAAGGGTATGCTTATATATAAAAATGTAAATGAAATTTTTTATAATAGGTGTAACAGCACTTTATCCTCACCTGCATGCTGAGTGAAATGCCCTCTCTGTCAGATAGAAGTTCTGCAAGGTTTTTGGTACCAAGGACATTCCTCAGAGTGGTTTGAGCAAGCAGTCGAGTAGATGAGTGCGCATTGGTCACATTGGCCACTGCTGAAATGGGGCAGTATACGCGGAAGTAAACCACACCGTCCACAGACACCGTCACAGAGTCTTTGGTTAGGATCTGCAAATGTTTAAAAAAATTGCAGTTTATTTACTGACATAAACTACAAATGGCTTGTGATGCATGAGATAACAGAGACAGTGTGCTTTCATAATAAAACGAAGCAAGAATATACCTCTTGAGGAGGGATATCAAAGGACACAGTTCTCAGATCTACTTTCACAAAGTTATCGGTGCAGGGTAATATTAGGAAAAGTCCTGGAAAAAGATAAAAGCCAGTTCAGATGATAATGTGGAGTCAACTTCCAAAGCTTTCTGGGATGGCTTAACCAAAGTGTTTGTTGTATATTTAACCACAAACCTGGCCCTTTAGCTTTTCTGTCTGTGATCCGGCCGAGTCTAAAGATGACAGCTCGCTCATACTCCTTCACTATCTGAATGTTGGAGACAACCAATCGCAAAACAGTAAATAAGAAATACAGAAATATAAATGGAGTATTTTTTTTTACGGTGTGTATACACATCTATGTGAAGAAATAGTGATTAAATCCTAATAAGCAGTGCTCCACAATGAGAATATACTGTACCTTGACACACATAAATATTGTGAGTGGAAAGGTTACTATTACAAAGATGATGGATATGAAAACCAACAGCCAACCACAGCATCCCAGTTTACCTGAGTTTTTATCTGCAAAAAGAGCAGAAACACTTTACAAGTTTTTAAAGTGCAGGGTATGTACAATATCTTGCTTTTTTTCATAGCACCTTCATTTCACATTTAAATTCAAACCATAAGTTCTTGGTGTTACTTTAATGGCATAATTATCCAGTAATATGCTCCACTGGGACGCCACCTTTTATTAAAGGTGACACAAAACATTAGTGCCGAGAGATGTAATGGATCTACACTGCTCCTATTTCACTAATGATGTAAATAATTTCTAAGGGAAGGCACGCAGCTTAAAATCCACGTGAGTCACAAAGTGTTGTGCAAACTCACTGAGCCATTCAAATATCATCATTAAAACACTGAGATGTCACTCTCTGTGTCATATACAGGGTGGGAGGAAAAAAAAAAAGTCTTTTCAGGAAGACTTTCAGGTGAATCTTTTAAACAAGACACAAAGCTAATACATAACTACGGATAATTTAATTTATTTACTTCTAATATTAAAAATACGCCAGCCAATTATGATAAATGGAGACGACTAATGCTTTTCTAATGAAAGGCCATGTTATTGAAATGCAATAAGTGATGTTAAAATAGAATGTGATTAAGATGTATATTAAATTAATATGCCAAATGATTATGTAGGTTAAGGATCTTTGGGTAAATATATGGTAATTATTAATTCACTGCTTTCCTCCTTTTCGCAGTTTTTGGAGCTATGATTAATGTGTTCAAATATTACTATAAAAATAGCCTATTACATATTATAG